TGAAGATGAGGACCTTGGAAAAAGGACTCAGATTCCTGAAATGTAACATCCATAGAAACAAAAAAATTCTGACTACCAGGGTGATAACACTTGTAGCCCTTCTTATCATGAGCATATCCAAGGAAGACACATTTAAGAGCCCTAGGATCCAACTTACTGCGATGCTGTTTATGAATATGAACAAAGACAACACACCCAAACATTCGAGGAGGAAGACTTTGCAAAGTTGGAACAGAAGGAAAAAAAGAAGTCATGGAGTGAATAGGACTTACATGATCGAGAACCCGAGTGGGTAGACGGTTGATCAAGAACGTTGCAGTAAGAATGGCATCTCCCCAATAGCATTTAGGTACATGTGTTTGAAACAGTAAGGCACGAGCAACTTCAAGAAGGTGACGATTTTTTCTTTCAACAACCTCATTTTGTTGAGGGGTGTCTACACAAGTAAGTTCATGAATCATACCTTGATTTCGTATAAATTGGGAAAACTGTGATTAACATATTCAGTACCATTATCTGTTCTTAGTCTCTTGATTTTTCTACCAAATTGGGTCTCAACCATTTTATAAAATTGAAAGAACAGATGTGGTGCCTCAGACTTTTCATGCATTAAGTAAACCCAAGTTACACGAGTGCAATCATCAATAAAAGAAACAAACCATCTATTTCCAGAAGCATGAAGGACTTTATAAGGACCCCAAACATCAGAATGAATAAGATCAAAAGGTTCCACACTCTTAGTACTACTAGAAGGAAAAGACACACGATGATGCTTAGCAAACTCACAAACATCACAATGAAAAGACTCAACAGGCTTAGATAAAAACAATGACGGAAATAAAGACTTGAGTAAACCAAATGGAGGATGTCCCAAGCGCTTATGATGAAGCCAAATCAAAGAATCAGCAGTTGATTGACCATGAGACATCAAGATGTGATCTGTTACTTTATTTGCGGGAGATTGTAACACCAGATAGTACAGCCCACCTTGCTCTTTAGCATTACCAATCGTCTTCCCCGTGGCGAGATCCTGAAAAACACAATGGGTAGGGAAGAAGGTTACAATACAATTCAGATCTTTTGTAATTTTATGAATAGAAAGAAGATTTGTGGAGAGTTTAGGAACATGAAGAGCATATTTAAGATGTAAGGACTGTTGTAAGTTTATGTCACCAGAACCCGCAACTGATGTATGTGAGCCATCAGCTATGGCTATAGTATGAGTTCCAATGGTAGGATGATAAGAAGCAAAGGAGTCAGCACAACAAGCCATATGATCAGTAGCACCAGAATCAACAACCCAGGAATGTTTAAAATCATTACATGAAGAAAGAAAAGAATGAGTTTTGGGGCTCATACCAGTCAAAGCCAAAGCACTAGTATCAGATGGCTTACTCAGATAATCAAGGATGGTTCGGAGCCGTTCTAACTCATCTAGACGAAATGCAGGTTGGGTCTCATTAGGTGCAGAAGTTATTCCAAAGGAAGTAAAATGCGCTTGACCACGCATCCTTGCCATCTTTTCTAAGACAGTTTGCTTTCCATGGAGGCGAAAGCATAAATCCTTGATATGACCTATTCTTTTACAATAAGAACACCATCGATCATCTCTCTTAGGTTTAGAAGATGCACCATCATAAAACTTTGTAAAGGAACTCCTTTGAGAAGAGACCATACTGCACAAAAAACAGTCAACGAAAAAGGCTCTAAGAAGCCAAAAAATTCGGAAAAAATACCAAACGATGTCCGATCGGAGAAAACAACACAGATCCAGAAAGAGAACAAGGAGACGAGAAGAATGGTGGTGGTCCGGTCCAGAAACACCGCCGGACGCACCTCCACGCGCCGGAGAAAGCAGCTGCGCGTGGGCTTCACTCTCGGACAAAGAGGCGGCGCGTGAGAGCGCGTGGCAAGGCTTCTCCGGCTGAAATTTTTCCGATGTGGTCGTCCGGTGAGCGCGCACCTGTCTGTGGGTGGTTGCGGTTGAAAAGTCACCGGAAAGGGTTCTAAACGGTGAAGACAGAACTGGTTGAAGGCGGTCAGAGGTGTTTGGGTCGTTTGTGGCGGAGGAACGTTGCGTAGAATGATAGAACAAAAAAAAAAAAAAAGGTCAACAGTGGTCCCCTTGGTCCAAAAGGTCCCTGGAAATTTTTTTCCGGTGGCGGCTGATGGCGGCAAGAGGCAAAGAAATTAGGGTTTTGTAAAAAAAAAAAGACAATAGGCGCGGAAGCAGAGCCCTCAGGATCGAGAGCTCTGGTACCAACTTGAAAAAGGGTTATGAAATATTATTGATTTGTATTTGAATCTGTACATAGGGGTCTCTATTTATAGAGACTTCTTGACCTAATTTTGACCTAATGGGCTTGGCCCAATATACAAGTAACGGACTAAATAAATACAAATAAATGACTACATAATTACTAATAAATGACTACATAATTACTATTTACAACAAAAAATGATAGGTAAAATAACTCATCCCTATATATATATATATATATATATATATATATATATATATATATAATATAGAGTTTACATTTCTGCAATTGTTGTATGTGGAGCAATCAAATACTTGTCATATATATACTTAAAAGCATTAAATGCGAGAAATAATAACCATATAAAGGATGAAAACATTAAATATAAGGAATCGTAACCATACACCTGTCGTTGTTGTACGTAAAGCGGCTGCAGAAATAATTTTACTTAGTTATATATATATATATATATATATATATATATATATATATATATATATAGGAAAAAATATTTATACAACCACTTTAGATAAGGTTATCTACAGCTACCATTTATAACTATGTTCTCCCGGGAGAATATAGTTAAAACATTAAAGTTGTTTTTTTTTCTCTCTCCACGTCAGCAAACAAGTTCTGAAAAGTAACTGAGAAGAGAAAAAAGAAAATAACTTTAATGTTATAACTATGTTCTCTCGGAAGAACATCGTTATAAAATGGTAGTTGTAGATAATCTTATTTATAGTAATTGCAGAAACGTTTACTCATATATATAAGTGAAAAGACTCGTACGTTTTTTAATTAAGACGTAATGTCGCCCATTAATATATGAACGGTAGTCTCTTCTAATTTGAATTCTCCTGGCCGCTGCAACAATAATAATATGCATGTGTAAGTTTTACCTCTGTAAGCAAGATGTAAGTAAGAAAATAATATAAGAAAGTCAGTAAGGAGTGATCCAAACATTATATGTAGCTACTAGCTAGCATATCTCTACAACTACAAGACTGCATAAGAACCCGCGGCAACTCAGGTTTTAGGTTTGTTGAAAATAAAAGTATTCACGTAATTTCTTTAAACAATTTTTCCTTCTAAAATAGTTAAAGTCATGACTCAATATTATGAAGTATGAACTAATCAGTGGTGTAGAGTTTGACTGTAATATCTCTTGATTCTTCTAGATAAAATTAAGTTTCATTAGGTAAAATATATTTGTGCATTATTAATGCTTACTTAAATTTTTGAAATAATTGATTTAAGACAAGAATTTTATTTTCACTTTCACTGGAAAAAGAAATTCATTCCTGGAGTTTCAAGTGCATGCAACAAAAGATATGTAACCAAATATAATATGAACCCGAAAATAATAAAAATAATTCTTCTCCCTATTGTTTTAGGGGAAGGATATTGTTTTATTCTTAAGGGGGCGTTTGGTAGAAGAGAATTTTTTTTTTATCCGGGAATCACGATTTTCAAGAATATGACGAGAAAATGAATTTTCTGGAAATGTTATCAAAAAGTTGTTTGGTAGACTAACATATTTTCGGGAATATTGGGTTAATTTTCTTGATACTATGTTTAGTTGTATTAAATTTTCCCTTACCATAGCAATCTTAGAATACCACCATTTGAATGGTATTCCTGGATGGTTTTTTTAAAAAAATTTACACACAAAATAAAATACCGGAAAATCAGATTCCCGGGAAAATTTTAAAAAGCCTGTACCAAACGATGCATTCTTATTTACCCAACCAAGGAATTCCGTGAAAACAAAAAAAATCCTCCTACCAAACGGGCCCTAAAATCCAACCTAGACGGGTTACAATTTTTTTATAACTCAAGCGAATTTGGGCTTCGAGAAAAGAAAATAATGTAGTTTTGTACAAAATGGCCCATTCCACAATCCAACTTTTGTTTGGATCAAGCTTGGCCTGATTTTTTTTTATCTTATCCCACTTTTTTTTTTTTGGGTGTGTAAGAATAGTATCAAAAGCGTCTCTTCAGTCTATTAATCGCTTAATTTTAAATTGCTCGCCATTTTGAAATTGTTGGTCTAGTGGCAGCTGAGTTAGACTCCAGAATTTAACCAACTCAAAGAACACTGGGTTCATTTCACCACTTTAGGATATCAAACACATGTGGATATCTATAAGTTCACCATTTTAGTTTAGCCATTCTTGAGCCTCAACATGTTGATTTGTGTGTCCAATATTTGTCAAAAAAAAAAAATGTTATCTAGCCTCATTGGCTTGTAAGTTACGTTTCCAATTTTGTTGTGCAATTAAATTTTTAATCTAATCTCTGTTCATATTTTGATTAATTAAATATTTAAATAGATCTTTGAAACATATAGGCAACATCAAGTAGGTTTTTTAAAACTTCAAACATTAATTTAATCAATCATACTCAGAGTATTAATTTAGCTGAATTAATTTTAGAAGATGAATTGAGAGACTAAATTAATACTAAAAATCTTTAGGGTATCAACATATTATTCTATGTATTTTTCAAGAACCAATTTAAGTATTGTCTTTCCAACACTGGGAGATTGCAAAAATTGGCAAAAGATAATAGAATAATGCGATCAAAATGAAAGGTCAAGAATAGAAGTGCTACATTCTGAGTATCACATCAAGCTGAACAAAACACAATTTTTATCCGAACAAGACAACATCATTGGAGATACAAACGTATTGCAAAACAGCACCGAGTCAATGAGCAAATAAAAATGTACTATCAGCATTACACAAACCCCCCAGTCCCCATCCTAAAAGATTGATTCGGGATCTCTTTCATACAAAAACTAAACGTAGTGTTTGGTTAAATTAAAGCTATGCGTAATTATTACCCATACAATTTATTTTCCACCAAAAGGGCAGTGGAGAATCTTAAACTTTGGTCCACAAAAAAGTGAAGCACAAGAATTAGAATCCCTGCCCCCTTTTATTTTCTCCCCATACGATAGATATACCATATTACTACACCATAAGCCCGAAACACAAAAGAACTAACTTCAATTCAAACACTGTCTTTGAATCAATTGTTCTTCTGGCCATCAACATGTTCCTTGAGATGGTAACCTGTACCAAATGGTTTCTTTGAGAGAGAGAGGCGCACTCCTGGATCATGATGGGAGCAAGAAGTGTTGTACAATAGAGAGTTGTTGACACACTGTACGTTGCTGTTCATATACGCAGCCATTGGGAGCGAAGATGTTGTTCTACCTTTGTGATTCTTATCCTTCTTGTTTGTATTCCCTTCTTCATCAGTACTTGAAGTATCTGATGCTTTGATATTTGAATTTCCCTTCTTGTGAAGATAGTTGGGTTCATTTTTCTTTGGGTTATGGATTAGTTCCATATAAGCTCCTCTGTTTTCCCCTGCAATTGTTATAACTCTCATGCCAGAGTCCTCAGAATCCGAAAGCTTTCTGTGAAGAGTACCTTTCTCCTTGGTTGTTTCACTTTCTTTGCTGGTAACGTGTTTTCCATGACTTTGGATTTCACTACTGCGATTGAGCCACTGCATAGGCTTTTCGATGGTCTTCTGAACAACCACGTTTTTTGGCTCTGCCTCCATTGGTATCTTTGGTTCAGTCTTCAACTGGGAAGGTGGAAGGGTCAAGGGAGAGGGAGGTGGAGCAGTGGGTTTGATCTTTGGCGAGCTCATTGGGCTCCTAACAGCTTGTTTTATTGTTTTTGGAGATTGGGTGGTTGGAACACTCTTTTCTGGGGAGGTAGCAGTGGTTGGTTTGAGAGTGGGAGAAGATGAAACTGCTTCTTTTTGGAGTGGAGAAGTTGGAAGTGATGCAGGAACTTTTTGAGGAGGAGGAGGAGGAGATGGAGGAGCAGATGATCTTTCAGCCGCGGCAAGGCGTGGTGGAGGAGGAGCACTAGTTTCTGTTGTGGCTTCTCGAGGTTGAGACTGAGGTGATGGTGGTGCTGAAGCAGTCCTAAATGTGGGTAGAGCCAAAGTAGGGCGTGGTGGAGGAGGAGCACTAGTTTCTGTTGTGGCTTCTCGACGTTGAGACTCAGGTGATGGTGGTGCTGAAGCAGTCCTAAATGCGGGTAGAGCCAAAGTAGGGCGTGGCTCTGGAGCAGGAGCTGGGGCAGGTGCAGGTGCAGGGGCAGGAGCAGGGACAGTGCGAATGGAGGCTAAGCGGAACCATGGACGAACTGGGGGTGGGTTTGACATGGTTTATGGGAACTGCTCAAACCTTGAAGACAAGTAGAGAAAATAAGGATGAGGAGAACAACAATGAACACACAAATATATGATAGATGCAATGTTATTTATAAATCCCTCTCATCTCATCTCATCTCATCCCTAGTTGCATGGCCAAAAAAGCAAAATATGAAAAATACAACTTGTACCAGGTTGAAACAAAAAAGGAATTCTGATTAGACCATGCGAAACATGACCAGCAGTAAAGCAAATAAAGAGAACAAAACAAAATGGGGAAAGCATCAGATTCAATAGGCACCTCCAGCTGACACGAGCAAGGTTGGTATCCATTGAAGAGTAATTTAGAATTTACTTTTAGAATTGCCTGTTTGAGAATCAAATTTACGGAGCTCACCTGAAAACTCAATGGGACATTACCTTAAAGAGTTGTAGTGCATTCATTACGGTTAATAACTTGATCTACTACTATACCATGCGTATGTATATCAAGAGCGGCAATATAGTATCATATGCCCCATCGTGTGCATCTCACCTTCATTTACTATCTTTGTCTTGTGTCTTACTTTGCTTGCTGAGGTAGTGAGGTAGCGATGCTCTCTTCTGCCTTTCCTTTACCTCCTCTTCGTTCTTTTTCAAGATGCTTCATGGGGCTTCCTTTATCCGTGTTGGAAACTATCCTATTTCAACGATAGGGAAGAAAAGAACTTATCTATTAACCAGAGTTGGGTCCTTTATTGGTGACTACATACACAAAAGTTTCAATCGTTCATTGCTTCTCTTTCTTTAATTAGCCTTCGTTAAGAATGCTTCAAACCAGTGCGTAGAATTATTCTTTGTTCCCGCCATATAAAATACTTTCGACAGAAAATGTTCAATCAAGGTCGTCGTGTCTTCCAATTCAAAACTTTTCTGAAGCCCTGTCTTCATATTCGATGATTAAAAAAACGCCGTTTTTATTCGTTCTAGAGAAACTCGGCAAATATAATATTCGTAAAACTCATGAAAGTCAACATTAATATTTTTTTAATTGGGAGAACTACCAAAAATTGATGCCTTTACTATTTTTATAATGAATATACAAAAATTATCTACATTCATTAAATTTCTCTTCAAATTATAGTTTTCGACTGAAAAATTAAAAAATTATAATGAGAAGAACTATTATAAACCTGAAATAAATTTTAATTACAAAAACACATCGATTTCCGTCCCAAAACGACGTCGTTTTGGACACAATATAGATAATTTAACTACATTGACTCCAGAAAAAATAAACCCAAAATTTATTCATATATTATGCTTGCATATATATTTCTATGCATTTTTTTATTGTGATTGATAAAGTTTTAAATTCAGGAAATAAATATTTTCATAAATATAAAGGAGATCATAGCATCAAGTTTGAATCAACGACAAAGATCTAAAGATAAAAGTAAGAGCGGAGCAAAGAGGGAAAGAATCTCGGGACTTTCTTCTTAGTCACATTACAATATGACATTACCAAGGAACAGTGACCAAAATGTCACTGTTCACCAAGTTTTTTACTTAAATGTCATGCGAACAGTGTTATTTCTCAATATACCATGCAGACAAGTTTGCTATAGTGCCCAGCGAATTCGGTTTGCTGATGTGGCACGTTTTTTGTGGAAACCAAATTCACTATTCCACGTAGCGAACTTGGTTGCAATTAATGCTGACACATTGGAGAAGTTCGTTGCCACATGCAGCGAACTAGGTGTGCCACGTGTCTGACATGCACCTAATTCGTTGAGGGTCCAAGCGAACTATGTGCCACGTGGCAGCTGGCTGCTAGTTCGCTGCATGGGACAGCGAACTATCTGTCGACAGTTACAGTTCGCTGGCCTGTATAGCGAACTCAGTGCTATTTATACCCCTTTCCCCCTCCCACATGCAATTTGTTATTCTGGTGCATTTTTTCCCAAAGAACCCTAGTTTTTTCTGCTTGTTCTTTATAATTTGTACTTCATATTTCACGACATAATGAGTAAAAGTAGCAATGATTTAATCGCCATTTTATATTACAATGGGAGGAGATATTTCGAATCGAACGATCAAATGGTTGAAGGAGATAAGAAGATGTTTCGCATGAGCCCCATTGCAAATATAATGACCTGAAGAAAATAATATACAAGAAATTAAAATTATTAAATACAAACTTTAACAACATTAATATAAAAATTTTCTAACCTATGTTTTCAACCTATAACTAAATAATGTCATTGCAATTAAAATTATTAAATAATGCATAATCAAAAAGTTATTGGGAAAAGTGTTTATCCTTTTAAATGACACAACTTCTGTCATTTCACTCTCACAAAGAAGTGGAACTCACACTTTTATATTTTTTTGTTCACTCTCTCTCCTCCTTTATCTATCTTTTTCTCTCACTTAAAATGACACAATTTTACATCATTTAAAATGATACACATTTTTCCCAAAGTTATTAAATACAAATTTTAACAACATTAATATAAAAAATTTCTAACCTATGTTTTCAACCTATAACTAAATAATGTCATTGCAATTAATATTATTAAATAATGCATAATCAAAAAATTATTAAATACAAAATTTAACAACATTAATATAAAAAATTTCTAACCTATTTTCTAACCTATAACTAAATAATGCATAATCAACAATTTATTAAACACAAACTTTAACAACATTAATATAAAATTCTTCTAACCTAAGTTTTCAACCTATAACTAAACAATATGGACAATTAATATTACTAAATAATGTATAACTAAAAAAATTGTTAAATGCTAAATTTAACAACATTAATATAAAATTTTAAAACCTAAGTTTTCTACCTATAAATAATATCAAACAACTAAAATTATTAAATAATGCATTAATATAAAATACTAAACCTAATAACATTAACATACATATTCTATCCTATTGTCACAATTAATCTTCTAACCTAAGATTTCATCCTATAAATAAGTAATATCAAATAACTAACACTAAAAAATTGTAAAAAAATAACTTTGAAGGTAGCGAGAGATAGAGAATGAGAGGGAAAAAGGAAAGAGAAAGAGTTAGAGTGAGAGAGAGTGAGAGGGAGAGGAGTTGGGGTAGGGGAAGGGGGGGGGGGGGGAGGGAGGGGGTTTATATAGGTTGGGAAATGTAGTCGTTGCACCAAGTTCGTTGGAACGAACTTGGTGCATGTCTGCCACGTGGCCTCCTAACCGTTACACATAGTTCACTGCCCACTACAGCGAACTTCGTTGTATGTCTGCCACATGGCGTGACAGGTGGGCGCGTGCAGGTGCATTAATTGCAACCAAGTTCGCTACGTGGAGTAGCGAATTTGGTGTTAACCAGAAACGTGCCACATCAGCAAACTGAGTTTGCTGGGCACTATAGCAAACTTGCCTGCGTGACATATTGGAAAATAACACTGTTCACGTGGCATTTGGGTAAAAATCTTGATCAACAATGACATTTTGATCACTGTTCCCATTACAAGAGATATGAAAGCTTATACAAATACCTGTTATACTTGGTCAACATGTACTTACCTCTATATAATATTATACACTTCTTCAGCAAAAAATAAAAATATAAACAATCTGTTTGTAAAGATACACAATCACTGAAAGAAGGAAGTGGATATAATCATCATAAATTCTTATTCAACATATAAAATCAGGGACCCTGTATTTTCAGAAATTTGAGGAGTTGCAGTTTTTGTTAATTACTTCAAACACTAGTTCTAAAATATTTCCCACCAAATAACAAGCTGCAAGCACTCATTCAAATAATCTGAATGCAAGAACATCATTTATATGCTAAATTATACTAAAAGAATCGTGTAATACAATCATGCAAAGCTTGACTGGCACAAAAATATGGTACATGGCCAAATGAAAATGGAAAATGCCAAATTTTGCTTTATTTGATGTTAGCAGAAAGCTAAATTGAAAGCAAAATTCTAGGGAACTTAGAGATGGGAATATTACATTCAAGGCCATTTTGTGAACTCAAACACTTTGAATACAATTTCAATTCCAGTGGGAATCTGCCACACAAAGAGCAAAACATTTAATGCATTCAGCGCAATGTGGAGATTTCTGGCTGTTTCACTCCCTCTCTGCATTGGTGGTACTAGAGCTGCTGCCAGTGCCCACAAGACCGTAATAGCTGGAGGGCAAAAATTACACAAGAATTATCATTTTCTATACCTCCTATTTAATTCACAAAGCTACATTGTTTAAGCTATAGTGTTTTTTTCAACCTGTTACAAAAGCTACAAATATTCCCAAGTTCTTCAAATTGAACATTCTTTTAACTTTACCCTCTTTATTTTTGCTTCATCAAATGCAAATATAATCTTTACCTGCTCCAGCAAATAAATGTGGACCAGGAAATAGCTTTCCTGTCCTAAACCATGTGTTCAACCCTCCACCAACTGCCTCAAGCACCCCAAATCCTAGAAGCAAGGATCCTGCATTGAAATGTCTATCCCTGTATGAACCTTTGAGCAGCTCTTTCCTATCCTGAATATGATTAGCTAATAAATTAGGTACTCGTCAGATTAGAATTCAGCATTCGATGAGTAGCTTCATGTATTTTATTTGGTTACAATTATAATCCAGCATCAATGAACAAACCACAGATCAGAAAGCTTGTGCTAAGATTAGAAAAAATAAATAAATAAAATCACAAACCTGCTAAGTTGCTCATCAAATGATATAAACCAGGGTCTATTTCATAATTGGAAAAATCAATTTCATCCCATCAGACTATCACATTATTTCTGTATGTTTTAAAAAAGGCTCTCAATCTCTCATTGCAAATGCATAAAGCAGACTTACAAGAGAGGTCATCACTCATTCTGCTTCTGCAAATTCAAGTAGCTTTCATTTTAAGGGTGCGCATTGGTTGAAGTGAAATCAGAGAAGGGCTATGAAGACATAAATTGTTTCCACACACCTTGTCAATTTCATTCCTACCATGCATGGATTAATGCAGAAAGGTAATCTACCTCAGTAAGTTGTTGTATTTTGAGTTCAACCGGTGAAGGTGGTGCTTCTACTTGTTTCCCGTCTGGGGTAACTGGTGTAGGTTTAACTTGTTTCTTGAGTTCGTTAATCTCGTTCTGAATAGTCCTTACTCGCCGCCATTGCCACCCCAAATACCCTGCCCACAAGGTATAGAAGAACAAAGATCCAAGCACAATGGGGTGTATGAGAGCAAATGTTCTTCCTTCCAATATCCCAAACTCTCCACCAACAGCAAGTGCATCCTGTGCCAATAACAGCTTTGTGAGATAGAAAGAAAACCCAGCAATATGTAAGAAAAGAATGGGAGGTAGATGCTTGCCTTGGGTTCAAATAAGAATGGAAATGTGATTGCTGTGAGAGAAAGAGAAGCGGGTTTGAGAGCATTGATATTATGACCCAAGAACTTGTGTTCTTTTGGGGTATTCAATTTTGCAGAGATGGAAGGAAGTGGAACAACTTTTGAGGATAATTGGCGTGGCTTGTTAGGAAGAATTGGAAGCTTTAGAAGACAGAGCGTGGTGGCCATACTCTGCATAGAATTTAGAAGGAGACAGCAGCACTCAGGATCAGGAGAAGAAATTAGGTACTGCAAGCAAGACAGGGTTGAGGTTGAGGTTGAGGTTGAAGATGAAGAGCCTATACAGTAAAAGATAAGGAACTTGTCCTTCAGATGTTACAATCCGTTCACTGAGCTTTCTTTGCTTTACCGTACAACATACATGACCTCACCCAATGCCCCAAAAATTTGGGCCAGGTCAAGTCGAGTTGTAGGATATTTGGATTGTGTTCTGTTTTTTTTTCTTCTTCTTAAAATTTATAAAATAGTTAATGAAATAAGTATTTTTTTTTTAAAAAAAAATTTAAAATTAAAATATAAATTAAAAATAACTCGAATATGTTTTATAAATTTAATTCTAAAAATAAAAAAAACAGTTACAAACTTTAAACAAGTTTTTTTTTGTTTTTTAGTTCTGAAAATTAAAAAATTATTTTCAACAACAGATTTCAAACATCTCTACTTTTCTAAGTTTATTTGGGTCTGTTATTCTAAAGAATTTAAGTGCGCTTAATCATAAGAAACTCTTTAATACTATATTTTTAATGCATTATTTAATAATAGAAATTATTTAGAAAATGTCAAAGAATGTACTGTTAGCATTTTTTTAAACAAAAAATTTCTTGTTAAAATCAGTTATAAACTATATATTCACTAAATATATAAATATATTATCTTATTAGTGATTACATATCAATAGTTTAAAATATAATTTAAAATTATAAATATTTACGTATTATTAAAGTTAATAATAAATATATTGACATGTATAGATTTTTTCATAAGCTTAAGTTTACGAGGGTAATATTCTTACTACTAAAAAATTTACTACCAACTCACTACCTATCTAATTACCATTGAACCAAAGAAAGAGAATGTTAAAAAAAAATTTAGAAAAAGAAAAAATGTTGATCTCCAATGATGATTAAATAGATAATTAAATGGTAGTAATTGATAGTAAATATATCTCCTTTTAAAGAAAGAAAGTAAAAGTAACATGTAAAGGATTAATTAAATGGAATTCTTTCGAGTCACCTTTTTTTTTCTTTTGTAATGAGTCACATTCTTTTTGGTGTGGACGTGTGGTAGAATTAAGTAAGTTGATATTAACGAACGGAATAAATATAGTATATAATATTTTTATTTAATTTATATTTTGGTCCTCATTTATAGTTCTCTTAAAATCAGCTTCCACGATTTCTCTTCAGTTATTTTGCCTCGCGTCGTTTACCTTTTGCTTTATCAGTTTTTGCCTTTTTGGCGTAAGCTACCAGCAAACTTTTGGTATACCTGGGATACCGAAACTCGATACATTTATTTATTAAAATGGATAAAAAAAAATTTACTTTAATCCTTATTTATTTTTTACATTTCCCTCTATACCTCCCCTAATTTTTCTTATTTAGTAAATGGGTGGAGGGAGTTCTGTATACTCATAGTATAAAATATATTTCCTTAACCTACATCATTATATTACACGAAGGAAGCAATAAGGCGATTTCCACTTTCATGATTAATTCAGGGCAATCATAAAAATAAGTTAAAAGTAAATACTAAATAATTATATAATGTGAATTTTCAGTTTATGTTACTTATAAATGTTTCTATATTTTGATTCTTATTTACGAATGATTTTCGAGAAAATGAAACCTGACAAGAGTGGACAAAACTGTTCTCTAATCATTTTTTCTCTTAAATATTTTTCCTTTTTTATTTTTTTATTTAAATAAATTTGAAAATATTCATATAATGGACAATATGATACTTTTTTAGTTATAAGAAAATTGTTTATTTTATTTTATTTTATTTTTGAATCCAACCGCGCGGTGCTCCTTCAAGTCTTGCGTCGCGTATGTCTTTTTGCATTATTATTATTTTTTTGCTATTAATTTGTGCATTATTATAGTTTAATTGAGTTCAGTATTATTCTTATCTGTACAATAGTTGTTTGGATTCTTAACGGATACACATAAGTGAAAGGCAAATGTTAGTAAAGGGTGAGTTTATGGAGCAGCTAGAGTTATGTGATAGTATCAAATGAACTCAGTACGTGAGAGGTGAGAATATTTACTTGATTTTTCTCAATATCATCTTACACCGATAGATAAATTATAATCATTATATGCACGAAAATCAAGAATTAAGATTTGGTGTCACACTGATATAAGTTATACTCTTAATCTTTACTTATATATAATAATTTTGATTTGTTAGATATTTAAGTGGTTAAATGCAAGCAAATCAGTGATCAAAGATTTGATGTAAATTTTTTTATTCTTATACGTTGTAAGTTATGTTATGAATATGAATATCATATCCCAACTACCTATCTAAGAGTCTATTAAGAGATAGATTCATGAGCATCTCAACAACTCTATAACAGTCAGAGGGCACAAGATAAGGATCACATCTCAACAGAAAGGGAGTTGAATCATATTGCAATTGGGGGAGCTCAAAGGGCCCAAGCCTAGGAAGGTAATCCTATAAATAAGAGCCTAAAGACCCTAGGTAAACACTTTTGACCTATTTACGAATATTGCCCACACTGTGCACACACCCACCCCCTTGGCTATAAGCCTATTGCTTGTGCGCAATGATTGGGACCTCGGCTATAAGCCTAGTATACATCTGATATACACTATCTTTGAGCGCATACCACACGTACGGTATAGCAATACGGTCTATCCAGGACCTAACAAGTTACACTTTCAATATTGGCTGTTGACCATAAATATATAGAGAGAGAGAGAGAATCCTATGACACAGGTGTCCAAAAAAAATTGACATCTTATATGAGAGCCGTTAGATCAATGATGTCACATGCTTACGAATCAAAGTTGTTAGATCAATGCAAAATCAATGTCTCTCAGATGAGGTATCAAACTTTTTTGTTTGACATATGTATCAAATGATCATGTCCCTGTACGTATGTATAAACCACACACACACATATGTGTGTGTATATATGTGTGGTAAAATCATTTCTCTTGACGTCCATCCTGTAAAGCATGGACATGCAATTTTTTTTGAAAAATGTGTGTCAGACACCGACACGCGATCAACATTTTGGGACACAAGATCAACTTTTTTCGACACGCGGTCAAAGCTTCGACACATTTTTTTTAGGTCTAAATTTTATTTTATTAACAAACATGAAAAAATAATTTATAAATCAAATTTTTTCTATTATGGAATTTGACATGAAAAATTATCAAGGTACGAAAAATTATTTTTGTTTATATTTATGTCATGAAATTTGGAAATTTGATTGGTTGTATGTCTTATTATGGGCTATTATATATATTAAATATAAATTATATTATATATATTAAAAATATTATTTAATACCATAATGTGTCCTAACGTGTCAAAACATGACTTTTTTTAAAATTAACGCGTCGGTATGTCGTGTCGTGTCCCGTGTCAGTGTCGGTGCAACATAGCATCCAACAATTACAGGTGTATGATTATGATTTTCCGTATTTAATGTTGGCATCTATATATATGATTATAATTCCAAAAATACCTTGACTTTTGCCTCAAAATGATGTCGTTTTGGGCTCAATTAGATAAGTTATCTATATTGACAGTAGAAAAAGCAAACTCATATATATATATATATATAATAAATCCATGATTGAATGATGAAAGTTTGGGCAGACAAGACAACAAAACGATGAACAACTGGCCTTAGGAGGATCACATTAGGGATTTGATTATCACATATAATGAATCTTCTCATGTGAAAAAGTGATTACCTAATCATAACTCATTGATGATGAGATAAGAGAGAAAAAAGTGTATAAATTTTAAATGAAAGATTATGATCAAATAACATAACTACTTTTTTACATGAAAAAATTCAGTCTCAAACGCATATGACAGTTTGATGCAAAACTTGGTTGCTCATGCGTGTCATTGATTCGTACCAAAAAGAGAGGAGCATACATGTGCATGGGTAAGATTTTCCGAGGCAAATGAGACACAAATATGACTGTCTCGTATAAAGACAGACAACAGACGTACTCTTGTCATTTGGGTTTCCATTTAATTCATCGATCTCCTAAGAAGGTAAACTTGGTGACCTAAATGGATAAATCAAATCTTACACCATAGTGGTGAAGCACATCATTTTTTTTTGGGCAGCATAGTGAAGAAAGCTTGATACCAAAATATAGACGCACATTTTTTTTTTGGGCAGCATAGTGATGAAGCACATCATTTTTTTTTTTAAAAGCTCCGATACCAAAATTATTACGAATAGTGAAGAAAAATAATAATTACTATATGCTCCAACCGAGGTCATATTCAATGGTTATGATCATATGACATCTGTCTTTCTCCACCACTATGCCTTGCAGTATCAATATTTTAATAAGTGAAAATTATAAAGACCAAATCATTCACAACAAATATAAAACAATTTTTTAATCAATCAGAATTAAATGAAAAATATAAGAACATTACTTTATGGTAGGAATCAAAACCTAAGAGAGTCAAAATCAATTTTTTAATCAATCAGAATTAATACTTTATGGTAGGAATTAAAAGACGACAAATATGTTTACCAAAAAAAAAAAAAAGACGACAAATATGGAGTCAAAAAACCTGATACATATATTAATCACGTCGGATTTTTGAAGCACGAGATTGTGATTAAAAAAAATACAGATGACAATTAAGCACGTTAAAATCGTCGGATTATGAAGGAAGAATACAGACGGTAATGAAGCACGTCGTTAATTATGAAGGAAGAATACAAAATCCTGATAAATACAGATGACAAACACAACCATTAATCAGGAAGGAGGAATATGAGAGTCAAAAAAGAACATACTTTGGCTTTGAGAAAAAAGGTTGTGAAAATACTGCAATAGAAGAATCTCAAGAAATCCTAGGGGTTAGGGTGAGATTGTGAGAGAAGCATCCTATTTATATTTTCACTAAAAAGTCTCACGAAATCCACACCAATAGGAAATCCATTAAAATCGTCGGATTTTTGAATACCATGAGATTGTGATTCCATCGTTTAAAATCCTGATTGAATACCAACGGATTTGGACGGATTCTAAAATAATCTTTTAAAATCCTAATCAAATACCACATGACTTTTTTTCAGTC